GTTAATATTTATTATTCCAATATAAATTTATGACAAAAAATATATTTATTATACTTTTAACACGTACTCTAGAAATACAATATTCATTCGGTTCATTTTTAATGGTTAAATGCTAAATTTGGTCCATCAGCTTTAGTGAGTTGCACATTTTTGGTCCTCAACAATTTTTTGCATGTTTTTTATCCTCAACTATACGAAATGCACTCTATTAGTCCTTCTGTCAATTTGGGCCATTAACTCGGCCACGTGGTATTTTTTATATATTTTTTTATGACATGGCGAGGACAATTTAAAAAGGTGTTGATCTGGACTTTTTTTTATGACATGTCATGTTCTCGCATCAAAGCCCTTCCAATGGGTCTCACGTTGCCTGCAAACCACCAATAAAGAAAGGTCTGTGAACCCTAGAATGGTCTCTTATCTTCACTCTCTGCAAAATCAATTTAACTCATATCTTCTTATTCTATGAATGCTCTCTCATCTCCATTCCATTTGCAAAATTGATCTTAACCCATTTCTTCTTCTTCTCTAAATGCTCTCTCATCTCCACTCCATCTACAAAACCGATCTTAACCCATTTCTTCTTCTTCTCTTTTCTCGGGGGAACTTGAGAAATTGACCAAATGCAAGGAATTTGTGATGAGATTTGCTCGAGTTGGGTTGCCTCTATTGCTAATGGGGTGAGTCCTTACAAAATAATATGTCTATGAACCCTAGAATGCTCCAAAGGAGAATTTGGAATTCTCTATCATTGAACCCTGCTACTAGGTTTCATTGAAACCTCAAACCTAGTAGATCTTATCAAATCAAATTAACCCTTCAATAAACAATATCAATCAAACTCTAATCAAATTCCAACAAAAATGCAATCAAATTGTAAATTAACTCCCAAATTTATTAACAACTGGGAATATAAATCAAAAGAAAAATGAAAAAACATGAACCCAACGTCGAAACAGCAAGGCTGGTTTGCGCGACCAACAAGGCTGGGTTCATCGAAACCCAGCCAATCTGGGTTTCGATGGACCCAACAAGGTTGGGTTTTGACAAAACCAGCAAGGTTGGTTCGGGCGACCAGCAAGGCTGGGTACATCAAAACCCAACCGATCTGGGTTCGACGAAACCCAGCCCTAGGTTCATCAAAACCCAACTTATTTCCACCTACCCAGGGTAGGAAAGAAAGAAAGAGAAAGAAAGAAAGAAGGGGAATAAGAGGGATTGAAAGGGTGAGGGTAATAACGTAATTTTATTTGTTTTTAATTAAAATATAAATATTAATCTACATGGCATTTTTATTTATTTATATAACATAATTATAATATGTATTATTGTCACATCATCGAAAAAATTAAAAGACAATGCCACATGAAATTATTTAACTGTCACATCATATTTAACTGATGGAAAGACCAAAATTGTGCAATTTTTAGAGTTGAGGATCAAAAAAATGCAAAAAATTGTTAAGGGACCAAAATGTGCATTTCATAAAGTTGAGGGATTAAATTTAGCATTTAACCATTTTTAATAGATCTAGATTTTTTTTTCATATCTAACAAAATAAAAAAGGAAATAATTTATTGATAGAATTCATATTTATCTCTAATTAAATACCACTTAAATAAGATTTTTATTTAATATGTGTTGTAATTATCCATTTAAAATGAGGTTAAAATAGCAATAAACACATTAAATAATATTTTAAAAATAAAAATTAGATAA